TAACGATGCTTCCAGGTATGCTTATGGTATCACATCTGGGCATCCGACTTGTGTGCATACGATCAGTCTTTTTGTGAACTCTAGGGCCATCACTTAGGAGTATGATTCTTGCTACTCCCATAAAACTTGAGATTTGTCTTGATAATCTTCAGGATTCCGTTCTTTAAGATTTGCTCAGTTATCATCTATCTAATTCCCCTTCCTGACAGTAGATGAGGGCTCAAGCAACCAGATGAGGGCTCTTCCTCTGAGTCTTGTCAAACCCTTACATGTGTGTATGCTGCTCCCCAGTGTGTTACAATTGTCTGGTTCAGTGTTGCTCTCTCCACCACACCGTCAACTCCAGTAGGGCAGGAGCTCTCACCTTTGAGCTCCAGTAAAGCACAGTGACCAGCACATAGTAGGTGCTCAACAGGTATTTGCTGGGTGTGGACTGAATCACAATAATTCTTCATAATTTCTCATGTGATAAATAGACATGAAACGTGGACAGACCATGTTAAGCAGGCTTCATCTTTTGGATTAACTATTTAGCCTTGTAAATTAGTCTTTCATGGTCTGTATATTCAAGCAATAATTAGGCCAAAGCTAAATATTAATAAAAGTGAACTGGAGTGAAGATGGACTGACAGTTCCATGTGTTAAAAATATGTTGATTCGAGTGATAAGAGAGAGTCACCAGGGCTAAATTTGTAACCAGTTGCTGACTTCATGGCTCATTCAAGTGCATACCACAACAGTAGCAGAAAATCTATTTGACAGGTAAAGCCCTATTCCCTAGACTGCTGTTTAACTCTCTGCAGGCCGACCCAGACCTGGTCTTTCCATACCACCCCACTCCCCACTGTCACCACTTCTGAGCCTTGTCCCTCTAACTATGCAAGCAGCTTCATGCTCCCTCATCCTGTTGGTCCTGCTGCTTCTACATCAAGAACGCCTGTCCCAGCCGGGCGCAATGGCTCACAGCTGTAATCCCAGCACTTTGGGAGGCCGAGGAGGGTGGATCATGAGGTCAGGAGTTCAAGACCAGCCTGGTGAAGATGGTGAAACCCCCGTCTCTACTAAAAGTACAAAATATTAGCCAGGTGTGGTGATGGGCACCTGTAGTCCCAGCTACTCGGGAGGCTGAGGCAGAGAATTGCTTGAACCCGGGAGGCGGAGGTTGCAGTGAGCCAAGATCATGCCACTGCACTCCAGTCTGGGCGACAAAGCAAGACTTCATTCCCCCTAAAAAAAGGCCTGTCCCCTGATGACATATTAAAATGTTCCTCATCCTTTGAGAACCTACTCAGAGGTCATTCTTCCTGTAATCCATCCCCACATACCAGGCAAAAGAATTTCCCCTTCCTAAACATGCTAGGAGCACAGGTTGCTTCATGTAAGTCCCTCATCATTGATTCTCACTTGGGACCAGAAAAGAAATAGTCACTTCCAGTAGACATTTTTCTCTTAATTATTCAGTGATGTTTTTTATTTCTTTCTTTTTTTTTTGAGATGGAGTTTCGCTCTTGTTACCCAGGCTGGAGTGCAATGGCGCGATCTCGGCTCACCACAACCTCCGCCTCCTGGGTTCAGGCAATTCTCCTGCCTCAGCCTCCTGAGTAGCTGGGATTACAGGAACGCACCACCATGCCCAGCTAATTTTTTTTGTATTTTTAGTAGAGATGGTGTTTCACCATGTTGACCAGGATGGTCTCGATCTCTTGACCTCGTGATCCGCCCGCCTCGCCTCCCAGATGTTTTTTATTTCTATGTCATCTTCTAATCACCTTTGGATAGATATCTGCCTTTAGAATTTATCCAGTTACAAACTGTCTAAAGTAAACTTTTTTTTTTTTTTTGAGACGGAGTTTCGCTCCTGTCACCCAGGCTGGAGTGCAATGGTGTGATCTCAGTTCACTGCAACCTCCACCTCCTGGGTTCAGGCAATTCTCCTGCCTCAGCCTCCCGAGTAGCTGGGATTACAGGCACACGCCACCATGCCCAGCTAATTTTTTTGTATTTTTAGTAGAGACGGGGTTTCACCATGTTGACCAGGATGGTCTTGATCTCTTGACCTCGTGATCCACCCGCCTCGGCCTCCCAAAGTGCTGGGATTACAGGTGTGAGCCGCCGCGCCCGGCCCTCAAGTAAAATTGATAAATAAACAAAAGATGAAAGAACCTGTCACACATCTTTTTAAAAAACAAGATATTCAGATTCTTGTTGCAAAATGTTGTGTGATGAAGTCCTTCCTGTTGAATGAGTGACCGGTTGAAAAGCCCATACTTCTTTTTCATCCTTATTAATACTGTTGACAACATTTACTCATCAATTATTGAGCTTGAGAAAATTCACCAAGGACACGGTCATCTGAAGGGCCTCGGTCTGAGATTTCAATAATATAATCAATTTCACCATCATTATTATTATCCAGAGAGCTGCTGTCTTCTTTGGATTCATCTTCTGAGTCATCTAATAACTGTGAAATGTTGTTCTCTGTCAGTTTTTGGAATTTTTAATTGTATGCAGTGAAAGCTAAAAGCAGCTTCAAAACAGTGATGATTTATGTTTTTATTGAATCATCCTTCTTGTCAATTTCAATATTCCATTTATTATTTAGTCTTGTTTTAGCATAATTGGGAATAATTGGTGAGTAATGATGAAAAATAATTCCCTGGATGATGAAACAGCAAAATAACAAAATGTTTCAAAAGATGGGAAAAATAAGATCACAAAGATCCCATTATATATTTAGATTTATAAAAAGGTCCAGTGAACCCATATGGTAACTGCAAAATATAATGAGTTATATTTTATTTTTAAGATAAGTAAATTTCTTCTTGTTCTTCAGAAGCCCTCTAAGAGAATAAAAGTTATAAAATATCAAACCCTACAAATAGATAGAAGAACTCCAAGAGGAAACTTAAAAAGTAAAATTAGGTTCAGTGACCCTGATGATATGCCATATTATGTACATATGAACACTTCAGTGCACGTCTGTCTAACTGAAGGCAAGAATAGAGTAAGAGTCACACTCTCTATGTCTTCCTGGAGTTTCCCAGGCCTGATAAGGGCTTTACTCACAGCAGGACTTTTGGAGATACTCAGCAAGTGGAGAATTGGAGCAGAAGATATAATTATTAAGGGAATGTCAAACAATATTCATTACATATATATGTGCAAGGTCCTTGCACCATCTCAAAATCTTGACCCTTTGCCTAGAATATTGTTCTTCCCTCTCCCGCTTTTAGCTGGGTGACTGTTAGCTTTGAATCTCAACTCAGAGTCCTTTCTGCAGGGAACCCTTCCTTCCTTAATCCTCAACCCCTCCCATCAAGTGCTTATTTATGGGCTGTGAAAATCCCTTCCCTTCCACATCCCAGCCACACACATCATCTTCTCTGCACTGAACCACCATGAAAACTTAGTACTCATTGGCCAACCTCTCCTCCTCTCCATTTCCACCTTATTGGTTACTGGTTACACAAATACAGTTAGATAGAAGGAATGGGTTCTAGTGTTAGATAGCACAGGACGAGGACTGTAGTTAACAATCATCTATTGTATATTTGGGCCGGGCATCATGGCATGTGTCTGTAGTCCCAGCTACTTGGAAAGCTGAGGCAGGGAGAACTGCTTGAGCCCAGAAGCTCTGGGCTGTGGTGCGCTGTGCTGGTTCGTTGTCCGCACTAAGTTTGGCATCAATATGGTGACCTCCTGGGAGCCAGATTGCCTGAGGAGGGGTGAACCAGCCCAGACTGTAAACAGAGCAGGTCCAAGCCCCCATGCTAATCAGTGATGGGATTACGTCTGTGACTAGTTACTGCACTCCAGCTTGGCAATACAGTGAGGCCCTCTCTAAAAATAATAATTTATTGTATATCTGGAATGTTTTCAACACAAAGAAATGATAAATGTTTGAGGTGATGGATATTACACCATGTAGGCATGTATCAGACATCACATTACCCCATAAATATGTACAAGTATCAGGTATCAATCTTTAAAAATGAATATGGGAAGTCTGAGTGTGTTTCCTTCATTACAGGGCTGGCCCAACAAGGGCTGGTCGGGTTCTCCCAGCATCCTCTGTACCAGCACAGGGCTGCCCATGGTGGGAGCTCAAAGAGTAGTCCCTGAATGAAAAAAAAAAAAAAAATGAATTCAAACTCTTTTATGAGTAAAGAAGCTTACCTTCTCAAATTCATGCATTTGAGAAAGTAAAGTTAAAAAGTAAAAGTCCAAGGCGGGTGGATCACGAGGTCAAGAGATCGAGACCATACTGGTCAACATGGTGAAACCCCGTCTCTACTAAAAATACAAAACAATTAGCTGGGCATGGTGGCGCGTGCCTGTAATCCCAGCTACTTGGGAGGCTGAGGCAGGAGAATTGCCTGAACCCAGGAGGCGGAGGTTGCGGTGAGCCGAGATCGCACCATTGCACTCCAGCCTGGGTAACAAGAGGGAAACTCCGTCTCAAAAAAAAAAGTAAAAGTCCATCTGAAGAGAAAGCAGACCAGGTAAGAAAGCTGTTTTTTTGTTTTTTGAGGTTAAGAGTAGAGGTTTAATAGGCAAAAGAAAGAGAAAAGAGAAAGCTGTTACTTTTCGCCGGGCGCGGTGGCTCACGCCTGTCATCCCAGCACTTTGGGAGGCCGAGGCGGGCGGATCACGAGGTCAAGAGATGGAGACCATCTTGGCCATGGTGAAACCCCGTCTCTACTAAAAATACAAAAATTAGCCGGGCGTGGTGGCACACGCCTGTGGTCCCAGCTACTTGGGAGGCTGAGGCGGAAGAATTGCTTGAACCCAGGCGGAGCTTGCAGTGAGCCAAGATTGCGCCACTGCACTCCAGCCTGGAGACAGAGTAAGACTCCATCTCAAAAAAAAAAAAAAAAAAGAAAGCTGCTACTTTCCTGCACTGCTTGTTCCTGTGTTCCTTTATTCAGGGGTTACTGGGAACAAGAAGTAACATGACTGGGGCAGAGGGCTCCTCATCTCATGATTCTGCTTTCATTTAGATGTTGGGTGATTTATCAGAGACAGACATCAGCAATGAGGCTCAGGACCCTCGGACTCCCACAGACACCACAGAGGAGAAACGGAGAAATAGGCTGTACGAGTTAGCAATGAAAATGAGTGAAAAGGAGACTTCTTCAGGGGAAGACCAGGAGTCTGAGCCCAAGACAGAATCTGAGAACCAGAAGGAAAGTCTGTCCTCTGAAGACAACAGCCAGAGCGTCCAGGAAGAGCTGAAGAAGGTAAGGGCTGTGAAGCCACCTACAGCTCAAGCTTCTGCAGTAGGGTATTCGAGAAAGACTGGTGCAGAGATGTGCCGGGTCCCCAAAGAGCTGTCTAAAATGCCATCCCTGTGCACTGAGGAGAGCATAAGAGAACCCTTCTTAATTTGCACTGGGTAGTAGAATCAGGAAAACAGCACCATGGAAGTTTCCCAAGCACTCTTGGCTTCTACTGTCTTTCATCAAGACAATCCCTTGGCTTTGAGTCTATGACTGAGTAGCCCTTATCCCTCCAACTGGTAAAAAAAATAGTGTTATTTCCTGCCCTACCATCTTTCTGAAGAATTTTGCCCATGAACTGAGGTCATCTAGCCACCCCCTCTTTTAATCAATGATGAAGCTCTGTTCCATGCTACGGAGCCTTTGTGATCAAAGTGGCCTTCTGGTTTGTTTCTCGCTGCAGTTTTCAGATTTTGGTTTGTTTGTTGTTTGTTTGTTTTAGCCTCGGAATCCTTTTCCACACAATCTTTACATGGAATCCCAGTGTTTCACACAGATAAAAGTATTGCCGTCTTAGGGTCCCCAAAGCCCTAACCACTTGATTTTTCAGAACCACACTCCTCCTCCCCTTTTCCTACCCCCAGGGGACCCCTGAGTTCCAAAGGACACAGTTTGAAAACCGCAAAAGATAAACCCAACCTCTGGCAAAAAAGAATCCCACACTCCCTCCCCACAGTCAGTGCTCTGCCCACTGCCCTCCAGCACTGGGGCTCCCTCTATAGCTTCTCAAAGAATGTTTATGCTAGACTGACCACTCTAGAGTCAGGATATCCCTGCCCGCCTCCAATGGAAGGGAACACACTAATGTTCGTTGAGTGTCTCTCTGTGCGCGTGCCTGTACACATGTTCATTAGGGCCTTAAATAACCCTTTGAAATAGAAGCAGCCTATTTTTCGGAAGAGGAAACAAGCTGGGTCATTGAAGTCCCTACCCAAAGCCCACCGCTAGTAAGCTTCAGAGCTGAGGCTGCATCACAAACCCGCTCGGCCTTAAATCACAGGCCCCTTCCTTTACAATGAGCCAAAGATTCTATTTTATCTTCAGAGTGATGATTCTGTTAACAGAAGCCTCCCCGGGTGTTTTCTGTGTCCTGAGTGTGTACTGGGTAAACTAACAAGTTGCTAGTATCGCACATGCATGGGTGGAGGATCTGCCTTCATCTGCTCAGCAGCTGAGCTGGGCTCCTGTGGAGGAGTAAGTGGGGACCATCACCCATGGCTGAGCCCCTGAACCCCCCAACACCTCAGACTTGTTTTTCACTTTTCTCATCCCACCCTCCATAACTATCAGGTCCTTACCCATAAATCTTTGCTTGGCTCGTCTGTGAGTTGGAAAGTGGAGCTTGGTCTCCACAAGGAGCCCCTCACTGGGATATGGACTCCAACCTATTGCAAATGGTAAAGGGCTCTAATCCTCTCTGTTACTTGAACTGATGCCACATTATATTCAGATTTGTATGCTGGAGCTTAGAGCCAGATGGTAACTAGAGAATATCACATTCTTTCTTACAATGGCTCTATCTCCTACTGGCTTTGCTGCCCCAAAGCTCTAAAAACTCTCACTGTACCGGTGGCATGTCAGACTGTGAGTCATGCACCCTCACTCTTCATCAGCCTGCAAGGAGAAACCTCCTGGAGGCATAGCCACCAATCTCCGCCATTCTCCCCAGGTAGAATGTGGGCAGAGAAAGGAGGAGCTAACGGGGTGGGGGGGACATCCTGGGGACTTGGACAAGTGCTCCCATCCTGCCCCTGCCTTCATCAGACAGGAATAAAGGGGGCTGACTTTATTCAGATTCCCAAATGTGTCAGCTTCTCAAAGTTCAAGTCTTGCCTTCCTAGTCTACCATGAATCAATGAATTAAATATTCAAATATATATCATCCTTCTGCATGTAAAAGTCCACATAGCCAAATATATATATATATATATATATCCCCATCAGGCAGGTACTACTGTAGTTAAGGAAAAACAGAAATGTAGGCTTAAATATTAAATATTATTTAAAAACAGAAAAGTGTTGAGATAGGTTTTAGGATTAGACTGAGTTTAAAGCATAACCAGCCAGGGGCAGTGGCTCATGCCCGTAATCCCAGCAGTTTGGGAGGCCAAGGCAGGTAGATTGCTTGAGCCCAGGAATTTCAGACCAGCCTGGGCAACATGGCAAAAACCCATCTTTACTAAAAATACAAAAAACTATTCAGGCTTGGTGATATGCACCTGTAGTCTCAGCTACTTAGGAGGCTGAAGTGGGAGGATCGCTTGAGCCCAGGAGGTTGAGGCTCATCACTGCACTCCCGCCTGGGTGACAGAGTGAGAACCTGTCTCAAGCAAGCAAATAAATAAATAAAAACAAAAACATGTTAGCCAGGCGTGGTGGCTGAGGTCTGTGTTCCCAGCTACTTGAGAGGCTGAGGTGAGAGGATGACTTGAACCCAGGAGGTCGAGGCTGCAATGAGCCATTTTTGTGCCACAGCACTCCAGCATGGGCAACAACAGAGCGAAACCCTGTCTCAAAAGGAAAAAGAAAAAGTAAGAAGAGAAAGAAACACAACCATGCAGTTTGCAAACTCTGTGGCCCTGGCTAATGTCTTAACTCACTGCTGCTGCTTAGAACATGAGAGGTCATTTCTGCCTGCTTACTCTACCTCACCTCCTAACTGGTGTCCTCACCCTCCAGGCCTGTCTTGGCCCTTCCAGTTCTTTCTCCACTCAGTGGGGAGGCCCCTGCAGTCCCTGCACTTGCTCACAGCCTGTCAACAGGCCTAAGTCTGTCTTGTTTTTCAGTTGATCCCTAGGACCCAGTCCAGGCTTTCATTGTTGATTGAATAACCACATCTTGGCCTCGTTTGTAAAATGGGGATAATCATACTCCCTAAGAGGGCTGTAAGGAATGAATTATGTAGTGTAGGGTTTAGCACATAGCAGCAGCCCAGCAAATCTTAATTATTGTAGTTTAAGGAAAATAAACTTCACTGTCATGAAATACCATCCATCTGCTGGTACTGAAGGAACAGCTTAGTGCTGATTCCCAGTCAACACCTGCAGTGTCAATCTGTGGGTCTGTAACTACATTTGGTGCTCCTTGATTCTGTGCAGAGTGTAAGTGTAGAAATCACCACATCAGGCCCCTAGGTTACCATCTTCAAGATCAGAGTTAATTGTGATGTCCCCATGACCCCCAACACCACCAGTTTGAACAACACACACACACACACACGCACGTATATACACACACACACCCTGTTTAGGGAGTAGATGTAGAGTAATATGACTTTTCCAGAAGCTGGCACTGCTCCACCCTGGTTTCTTAACCATGGTAGTGCACACTGGCCCAAAGACCAACTACCCGAGGGCCTTCTCTGAGTAGCAGGAGTTCCTCTTCCTGTGCAGAAGACTAGCTTGAAGTGCTACAGAAATACCACTCCCAGGAGCGGCGCTGACCAGTGACTGATGAGAAGGGTGTAAATATCCCAGCTCCCTTGCTTTGGTCGGGATGTGACTCTGAGGCTTGAGCCATGCACTGACTCCATCAGCATATGTAGCTCAAGGCACCCAGAGTGATAAACTACTTGATAAACTGCACGATAAGGCAGTCTTCTCTATTGACACTCTTCCCGTTCCTGTCTCACTTCCCCACTCCTCTGCCACTGTTTTTTGGGATAGCCTCCCAAATAAGCCATGTGCACCTCACTTTTTATCTCAGGGTCATCATCCGGGGGGGCCTGACAAACAGAAGAAAATGCAGCATCCCCAAATCACAGATACTCACTTTGGTATCGTGAATAAGCAGTGAGGAAGTCTAACCACCAAACTGGCTGCTGATAGACCTTATCTCACCAAGAGGAGGCTTGCCTCATACAGAGAGGGAGCTCAGCCAAGACCTCCACCACTGTCCCTGCTGTTTGGGAGCTAAAGCAGAGGAATGTGCATATGCCCGTGGACACAGTGACATCAGTGGCAGATCAGTGTCCTCAGTATAACATCCCATCTGATTGGAGCTACAGAATCCTGTCGAGGAGTAGCAGACCCATTTTAAAAACATAATTTTTCCTGATGGGATTCAAACCTTTGCTGTAGGCAAACATATTCCTACAGTTGGATTAAATGTCTTCCTTTGGCTAGATGCTGGGGCCCAGATGGGCACTGCCACCTGAATTTAACCAGCTGAAGAATGAGCTTGGGGCCAGATCAAAACTTCTTAGGAACTGAATTCCCAAAGGGTCGTTTCTTCTTTAAGTAATAATTTGGTTCCACCAGACCTCAGTGGTCAGCCTTCCAAACCACATGGTCCTCAAAGCCTGGGAATGAGCACTTGTTTCTCCCCATCCACTGAGCAGCCACAGCAATGGCACTAGCCATGCCAATGGTTCTGGAAGAAAGTCCTGGCTGAAGTTGCTCCTTTTTTTGCCTCCAGAGATGCAGCTGATGCCCGATGCAATGGCCTGAGTTTGGAGACTACATTCGGGGCCAAGTCTCCCCTAAAACCCCTAATTTTTCCAGGCCTGGAGCAGCAGTCCCCATGGTCCCTTCTGGCTCCAAAATTCTGAAGTTCTAGATATGCAGTAGAATAATAGGTTTTTGCTTCTTTTTTTTAAATTGCATTTTAGGTTTTGGGGTACATGTGAAGAACATGCAAGATTGTTGCATAGGTACACACATGGCAGTGTGATTTCCTGCCTTCCTCCCCATCACCTATATCTGGCATTTCTCCCCATGCTATCTCTCCCCAGCTTCCCACCCCCTGCTGTGCCTCCCCTGTTTCCCCCCCAACAGTCCCCAGTGTGTGATGCTCGCCTCCCTGTGTCCATGTGTTCTCATTGTTCAACACCCGCCTATGAGTGAGAACATGTGGTGTTTGATTTTCTGTTCTTGTGTCAGTTTGCAGAGAATGACGGTTTCCAGGTTCATTCATGTCCCTACAAAGGACATGAACTCATCGTTTTTTATGGCTGCATAGTA